AACATAAGCGCTTGTATAGGCATAAAATATTATGGGAATACATAAAGATATGAAGAGATGAATCAGAGGATGGGTCAGAGTGGGCGAGTGTACCTTTTCCTACTCTGTTGTTTACCATGTGCATTTGTTATTGTTTTTTTTTAAAGGGGGTACACCCCAAATAAGACTGAAAAAAGTAAATATTTTCTTCAAAAGCAAATTCAGTGGCTTCTAAGCAAAAATAAAGAAAACACACCAGAGGGCAGAGTGAGGAATAATTCACCAAACCAACACACACACACATAAATTTGTGAAATTCTCACAGAAACATACAGTGCTTTATATCTCTAGTCTTAGAGAAATTTAGGGGGGAAAAAAGCAACGAGAGAGGAGTCAGTTAATGTCTATCTGTCTGCTACCAATCACAGTTGGGATCTGATGGAAGGCAGTACCATGTGATGGGTACTTAAATGAATACCAACAGTTGAAGTAAACACCAAGTTTAAAAATACATGATTTTCCAAAGCAACGCAAAAACCATTCAAGCTAAGCATTCCCTTTCTCCACTTAACATTTTCCCTTACACAGTTCATCACGTCCCACCAAAGAATCTGAATTTTCCATGAGTCCACAAGAATAAATTGAATAGTAAGTGGGCAAAGTCTAATTATGTATATGACATAAGCTGCAGAAGGTACAGATATGCCTAATTCCTTTCTCTAGATTCTTGTCTAAACTGAAAAGTTCTGATTACTTCAATTACAATGATCGCTCTCAAATGCCCTATAGTTACCAAATCGTATTTGAAAAGTACACTTTGAGAAGGAGCAGAATAAAACGGACATCTCATCTTCTAAGCCACGTGTCCTGGGATAAACACAATCCTCAGTGTGAAGATTTGAAGGGGAGAGGCTGCGGCAGGAGTGGCGGCGCAGGAGGCAGCACAGTTCCCCAACCCCTGCCTCACGCCAACCCCATCTCCTGTGTTTTCCAAGCACAACATTCGCAGGACCGGAAAGGTTTTGAAAGGCTCTTGGCCTAACTTATATTCACCCAAAAGTGGTTGGATTTACAAACTGCATGACTATATCAGCATTAAAATCATCACTGCCACTGCCACCATGTTTGAATGAAGCATCTGTTTCCCCATATATACCTCACCTCAGGCTTCCCCACACACACTTCACACTTCTGCAACTGGCCTTACAATACTTATATTTCTCTTTTCAAGATCACTGTTCACTATTTTATCCTTGATGTTTAGTGGTCACTGTTCTTGTTTTCTGTTCCTTTTCTCATGTGCATTTTTAATCACATTTTGTTTCACTTTTTATCAAATATTTCAAGTATACATAAAAGTACAGAGAACATCATTAACAAAACGAACACCCATGTACCAATGGTATACCACCTTAGCAAGAAATTAACATTTTGCCATATTTACTTCAGCTCTTTTTGTAGTAGTTTGTTACAGTTGACATCCACTGTGTACCATCCCTCCCAACTCCAATTCCTTTTCCCTCCTTCTCTCCCCAGCCACTCTCCGGGTGTTTAACACGCCCATGCATTTTTAAACATTGTTAATACACAGTCTGTATATATGCATATTGTTTTGCATGTTTTTAAACATTAATAAATGGCATCACAGTGTACAAATCATTCTGCAACTTGCTTTTTCACTCAACATTGTGTTCATTTTAACTGCCATATAGAATTCCATTGTATGAATATACCATATTTATCCATTCCCCTATTGATGGCCACTTAGGTCGTTTCCATTTCTTTACTCTTACAAACAATGCTATCATGAAGGCGTATACATATCTTCTTGGGTACACATTTGAGAGTTCAGAGGATATGAGCCTAGAAGTGGATTGCGGAGTATGCACATCTTCACCTTGTCAAATTGCTCTCCAAAGTGATTGTACCAATTTACACTTTCTGCAGCTGAATATGAGAGTCTCCTTTGTTCCACATCCTCTCAAACACTTGGTATTATGAGATTTTTAAACTTTTGTCCATCTGATAGGTATAAACAAGAAACTCGTAGTTTTTAATCTACATGTCCTGGAAGGATAATCATTTCCTCATAAACGTGTATTGACTATTTAGACCATTTATTTTTTAATTTTTCCAACTTTCACATTCCCTTTTATTCTATCACCACTTTCCCATAGTGTTTAATAGTAGAGACTACATCCAGGCTGCCTGGGTTCAAATTCTGGCTCCATCACATCCACTCCTCAGACACTTTGCTTGGCCTCCCTATACCTCAGTTTCATCATCTGTAAAGAGGCAGTAGCACCTACCTCACACAGTTGTGAGGGTTTTACGAGTTAATACACATTAAGTGCTCAGAACAGTGATAACCATGTTGTAAGATACAGTATTATTATTTTTACCCTTTGAAAGATTAATCTTACCAAAGTTCTCTTTTTTAAATTGAATCTCTTTTTCATTTGAAGTTTCAACTTATATTTTCTAATCTTTTAGGATTAAGTATTTCAGAAGTTTTAGCATTCAAGACTTTAACCCTTTTATTCCTTTCTTTTCTAGTATTAAATTGTCCCATTTCTGTCCTCTTTGGACATCTCAATTCTTGCTTCAATTACAGCAGATAAGCAGTCTGGCCTTGCAGAACAGCTGAGGAGTGCATCCTCACCAAACTGGGGAAGGGTAGGTGCTTTACCCCGAGCTGTCCCTGCAGCTGCTCAGCCAGATTCCCACAGCAGATCCAGCATCCCTCTGCTTGAGAGCTTCAAAACACCTCAACCTCAGTAACTCAGATAAAAGTCTTTCTCAGGCATGGGTCCTCCTGTGTCAATGGCAAATCTGAATTACTGGCAACCTGTTCTTTCCTTAAGTAACACCATCTAGTCACCTGATATATATATATTATACTATGGACTTACATATATATACTATGAGTTTTATATACTATGGACTCTGAAAACATCCCTACATTATTGAGCAAATCACACAGACAATATGTGAGGAGGTAGGAAACGCCAGCAAAACCAGTGTGGTAAAACACTTCATGCATAAAACAGGCATCCGATACATATTGGTGATTGCCTAGTAAGAAACAAAGGGTTCTCAATGCTGCTGACCTGGCTCTAGTGAAATGTAGATGGTATTAAACCACAAGCTAGACCATCAGCAGGGAGGTACAAGGATAGATCCACAAGCTGCTCTTGGCCTTTACCTCACCAAGCTACCTAGCTTCTGTACTTCTACTTTGATTTACCTCCTGTTGCAGCAAGGTATTAGAAGGATCTTCCTTGTGTGTCTAGCATTCAACACTCATGAAAGAGAGCAGAAACACCCTGGTTTGCCTCTCAGCTCTCAGAGGTGGAAAGTGGATAGATAACATTCTGCCAAGCAATATTTCAGATAGGCACCTCAATTTTCACAAGAGGCTAGCCAAGTTACCAACCTATTCATCTGATCTTGAAAGCATACAAATTCACCTTTAAATAGCACAAAATAAATGCAATTCTGGACCTAGCCAGAAGCAATAACCTAAAGACACTTGCAGCTCATTTCTTGTCAGAACCCGTTGAGGACAGTGGTATTGATGGAAGACTCTGTCAAGCCCATCCATTCCTCTAGTCTAGATAGCCTCGGTTTATCCACGGCTTAAGCCATCTAAAAGCTGCATAACGTTAATACAGCGGTATTCTCCAAGGTGGTTGGATTACTGGTGATTTTTATTTTCTTCTTTTTAAACTCTTGTATTTTCCAAATTTTCTACCATGAGAATGTGTTCTGTTTACAATAAAAGAAAAACACAATAAATGTTATTTTTAAAGCTACATGCTTAGAATATACTACCTTCCCCACTCCCACCCTCCCATACAAGTGCTTTCACTGAAAAACAACTGACAGCAGATTCTCAGCTTTCATGAGAAAACTTCACAAAAAACGTATTTGTGAAACTCAAAACTGTGCTTTCAGGGAGTTTTTTGCTATGCATAAGAATACTGCTGGGATTATTCTCTACTCCATCACTCAATTAATATTACAGCCCACCTTCCTTCAAAACTAAACACTAGGAAAATTATTTCACCTGACAAATTGGTGTCCTGTTTCTTTATGGACAATGAGAATTAAGTAACTTGTCAAGTTTTCCCATTTCATTTTGGACAGCTGAAGGTCAGAGACAAATATGAATTCTAACTAATACCTATGCAGGACCTTATGCCTGTGAAGCTCGGTTCTGAGAATCCCAGATTCCAACTTCGTTTTCTGGTTTGTTTTCATTTGAATATTCTTCTACTATGTGGATGTATTCTTGACTCCACCCTACACCCTTCTTACAGTAAAGCAGGACAAAATTAAATATAATAGTCTACCTGCTCAATATTAATGCTTATAATTTATGTTCTAAAAATTTTATACTGGGGAACAATAAAATCATGGTGCAGTATCTTTCTCAGTCTTTCTTAGCTAATAAATAAAAACTCAGCTTAAATTCAATATAAGGAACTAGGAATGAATTATGATTCCACTCTTATACTATTAAATTTATTTGCTTTCTTTCACTTATGAAGGATATTTACTTAATTTTTTATACCAGGATAAACAGAGGAAAAATGAAAATGCTTCTTTTATACTGTATGGATTAATTAACAGAGCATAAAGAGGTAATATAGATGTCATAAACACAGACTTCGACATCATCAGATAAAATCTGTGTTCAAATCTTGGTATCACTAGTGGTACACGTTGGTCATGTAAAATGTGAACTATAACATTACCTACCTATTATGGGTGCTGTGAGAACTAAATAACATATGCAAAGCACTTAAAATAATGCTTAACATATGTCTGCACTCAATCAGAATAGCTGCTGCTGTCACTGTTATATATAAAGCCTAAGTGTATTCTTTTAACCACTTAAGTATTTCTGCCAAAGAACTAGTCAAGGATTTTCTTGTATACCTGCAAAACAGAAAAGTTTCCCAAAAATGGGTATTTAGCATAATAATTCAGTGGTTGAGATATTTTAACCAACTTACCTAAACTGTCCAGTACGAAGAAAACAAAGAGCTCGGTTACCATAAAGAAGGTGGTTTTCAGGTCTTAAAAAGACACAATGTTTAGTCAGTAAAGCACATTACACACGAAACAAATAAACATCACGACGAAAACATAAGGCACAAGAAAACTTTTTTTAAACTTTACATCTGTGTGGCAGAGCAAAAAGAATATAGGACCTGGAGTCTTAACTGGCTAAGTCCCAGTTCCTTCACTTCCTACATAAGTAACTTTGTTTGAACCAACCTAAACTTCCCTATATTCAAAATGAAGATAACTCTAGTTGCTCTAACTCATAGGGCTGTTGTGAGGATCAAATGAGACATATTAAAGAGCTAGCAAACTACAGAGTAACTCTAGAGGATAGGATTACTTATATAGTAAGTCAGGACTACGACTACGTCGTTTTGACAAACAACTGAGAACGGAAGACTACAGTAATTGCAAATTAAAATAGCTTCATTTGAACTTGTTTTTTAGTTTTATCTGACTACGTGTGGTAAAATGTATCTCCCTTTCCTCCACTTCTTCCTCAAAAGAATAGGGCAGCAGCCTTTCAGAGGTGATACACTAACTGGATTCCCTCATTCCCTGTGGAGATGCGCAAGGGAGGAAAAAGAGCAGTGGCTACAGAGCACCCTTCAAAGGCTGCTACAATATTAGGTGGCCCAACTGAGATAACAGGGGCACAGTTATGAGGCACATCTGGAGGAAAGCTACAAAATTCTAGCAGCTGAGCAAAGAGAAGACAAGGTAGAGAGCATATATGTATTCTCTCAATTATCCTGTAAAAGTTCCCCCTTAGAAAGCAAAAAACCCTGAATGGGTGGCATCTTCAGTATTAAGAACTAATCCTTTAATCCTTTTTGACCAGTTAATAATTTTGGAGGACTTGGTTGATAGCAAAATGAGAACAAGACAAAAGAGATAACTCTGTACTGGAAAGTTTTAAAGAAAATGGAAGAGGGCAGAACCAAATTCACAATTTTGCCTGACTTGCTTGAGTTATGCTACTACGTTAGCTTCATATACCCACACCATCTTCGATGCTTCGAATGCCCAAGGATGAGAAAAATCTATTCTGCATAACAAGTTGGAAGATTACTTTCCAATTCTCCATCTTGTTTTTATTTCTTCTGACTACCATTCTAACTTGATCTGACACAGAAACAGGATTTCTTTGGTTCTATTTGCTCTTACCTATATTCAATGGCTCTGGTGTAATAGATAATAGCTATATCAAATCTTTCTTTGGAAAACTCTTCATTTCCTTTCATTTTCATTAGTTCTCCTTGCTGAGAAACCAAGGTGAAAGAAGACCCATCAATTAGCTCCAAAGATAATCAAGAACCCAATACCTAGGAAAAATGTATCCGGGTTTCTATCTTGGGTATCAGAAATAACTAGGGGATTATTTATGTAGAAAATGAGATCACAATACCCAATATTTTGTTACATATATATATGACACACACTACACACACACACACACACATACTTTTAGAGACAGGGTCTCACTCTGTCACCCAGGCTGGACACACACACACACACACAAGCTCACAACAGCCTCGATCTCCCAGGCCCAAGGGATCCTCTCATCTCAGTCTCCCAAGTAGCTAGGACTACAAGTGCACCCCACCATGCCAAGCTAATTTTTAAAAATTTTTTGTAGAGACCAGGTCTTGCTATGTTGCCCAAGCTGGTCTTGAACTTTTGACCTCAAGCAATCCTCCCACCTCGACCTCCCAAAGTGCTGGGACTACAGGCGTGAGCCATCACACGCAGCCTCGGTATATATATTTAAATAAACCTATCTTGAATGACTCAACACTAACTTGGTTAGAGAATATTAAAAGTAAACAAAACCATCACATTATGAATAATTACTAAAATGTTTGCGCTGTATTTGGTAGACTCACTTTTAAATATAGCTTATTAATAAGGCAAATAAGGTAATAAGGCTAATAAACAGATGCAAAGTAGAATTTTAACTTTAGGTTAGCAAGTATGATATTATCCAAGAAACCTTAGTGCCGAAAAACATATAAATCAATAACATAGAGGCAATGTTGATTAGACTAATTGCAAAGCATGAGTTGGTAGGTTAATGAGAATATATATGAAGGGTGCTAGAGAAAAAACTAAAACTTTTCACTTTAAACACTCATTTTTTTTAAATAAACTAAATCACATTGTATCAACGGCATTAGGGAATTCAATAAAACATTAAATATTTTCCCAAATTCCTTTTTTAAAATTGAGTTAAAGTCTTATTTTCTATGAGTGAACAGTGCAGCACATGAATTACATCTCAGCTGTTACCAAAGAAAATCATACTTCTTCAACTCATTAAAGACTAAAGTTTTTAAAAATCAAATTTTCACTTTCAATTAATGGTTTTTAAATCATTAGAAAACTCTGATCAAGATATTAGTTATTTCCCTCAAATATGTCATCCAATTTTATGAACTGTATATTATCAGCAGTTTTATTAACTTCCTCTGAGTGTTAAAAGTTCTAATGGGCAAATCTTAAAATATATTTATAATATTCATTCTCACCTCTATACAATCCATACAACTTTGAGTTTTAAGTTCTTCAAGCAAATTGCAGTCTTCCATTACAATTTTAGTTATGTGGTACTTGTCTAAATTTTATTTTTAGGAGAGAGCAAGAAAGAATATTTGTTAAAAAAAAAATTGGTATTGATAATATTCTAATTCTTAAGTTAGGTGAGTCCACAAAGGTCTTGTATTATTATTCTTTCTAAATAGCACGTTTCTTGCAACCTTTTATGTATATTAAATAACATAGTAAAAAATAAACTGATAAAATGTTGCAGAAAACATCAGTTATTGCTTGCTATGAATCTAATCTCACTTTTTACTTCTAGCAATAAAAAACCTTTATTTATTATTATATTAGTTGCAATTGTATTTATAATAAATGCACTGTCATAAAATATTCCAAATAGGCCACATAATTACTTACTTCAATAAACACTGTCAAGCATGTATGGTGTACCATGCACAATATTCAATAAAAATGTATGAAAACAAAAACCTGGAAAACTACTTTCTACAATATATTTAATATAAAGATGGAGTATCTCTTATTCAAAATGCTTGGGATCAGAAGTGTTCTGGATTTTGGATAATTTTGGATTTTGGAATATTTGCATTATACTGAGTGAGTATCCCAAATCCAAAAATTCAAAAAGCTCCAATGAGCATTTCCTTTGAGTGTCATAGCGAAGCTCAAAAAGTTTCAAATTTTGGAGCATTTCAGATTTTGGATTTTTGATGCTCAACCTACTTTAAATAAATACTTTCAAATGTTTTTATTCAGTATTTTGACTCTCATGAGTAAAATGTTACAATGAGAAGTTGAAACACTATTATTACAACAATTTAATAAACTAAGATGCAGTAAGTAAAGTTTATCAGGCCTCATTTTCTACATTGTAAGCTATTATATAAAAAGGATGTTTTAAAGTGGCAAAAAAAAAAAATGTACTGCAACAAAACTATAGTTAAGCCTCTAGCCAAACATATTCATTTCTAAAGTGAAAAGAGCACCTAAAATTTAAGATTCAATAAAGGACCCAGGAAAGTCACCAAATAAATAAATTCTAAGGAACAGAGTAAGATCACATGGAGGAAAACCTGGGCTTTGAGATCAGAGAGATCTGACTTACCTAGTCCTACCTACTGCTTACTAGACTGCAGAAACAACACTTAACCTCTCAAAGTCAGTGTGCTCACTGCTAAAATAAAGATAATAACAGCCACCTTGCAGAGCTATTATAAAGAAAATAGAATGTAAAAAATCAGCTATCAGCCTAAAGAGGTGTACCCAATAAAAGATACTGCTTCTCCATTTCCACCACAATATCTAGTTTATAATTAAGGGCCTCCAAAACAATGAAGAGAACAACCTCTATCAGTGTAATACACCCCAGTGTCTAATAAACCTATGAGAAAGATGTGTCTTCATTTAATTCCTTTCTAGTACTTAAGTCAATAGTGCAAAATTTGCCTTTATCTCAGCAGAGATGGTAAATTATTGGTCATCATCTACTGAAAACCCAAATCTTTCCGGTTTCAAGATTCCTATAACTACACTATAAAAACACTGCTAATATTCAAATGCTTTAAAGAAAAATATTTCACACAGTAAAAGAAGTATGTAAGGCAGTTACCTTATACATAAAAGAATAACAGACTCATGAAGAAAATAAAAATCATAAGCTTAGCTTCGGTTACTTTTTCTTACAAAGGAGACTACCCAGTTGTGGTCTCTAATTTTTTTTTTTTTTTTTTGAGACAGAGTCTCTGTCGCCCAGGCTGGAGTGCAGTGGCGCCATCTCGGCTCACTGCAAGCTCCGCCTCCCAGGTTCACGCATTTTCTCCTGCCTCAGCCTCCTGAGTAGCTGGGACTACAGGTACCTGCCACCATCCCCGGCTAATTCTTTTGTATTTTTAGTAGAGACGGGATTTCACCGTGTTAGCCAAGATGGTCTTGATCTCCTGACCTCGTGATCTGCCCGCCTCAGTCTCCCAAAGTGCTCGGATTACAGGCGTGAGCCACCGCGCCCGGCCTAGTTGTGGTCTCTTTGAGTATTACATATAATAGCTTACGATAGCCATTCAGCAACAATTTTTAAAGTACGATGTCACAAAAATCATTAAGACAAAAAATATAGAATAAAATTAACTACCAGTTTGAAATTCTCTTTTTCAGGCATACGTATCAAAAGAAAAACATTTTTTAAAAATTATAAGAAGACATCGCTTCTCGGTCTTCTGGCTAAGATCAAGTGTAGTATCTATTCTTATCAGTTTAAACTTCTAAGATAAATCAGAAATCACATAACTACACATCTCATTTTCCCAAATACCTTTAAAAACTGAGTCAAGTAACAATTTAAAGCATTTATACTTACATTCAGTAAAGAAAATACTTAACATAGGCCAACAATTGTCAATTGATCCTAATTTAGTTAGAATTGTTACATCGCCTGCATATTTTATCCAATTCAGAGCTTCTTCCATTGCCAAGATTTTCTGTTTCAAAAGAGAAATGAAGAATGGGGATTTGGTTATTAATTCTAAATTTGTATGTGGCATTATAAAGTCATCTTATGCAAGTATTTCAGATCCTTAATACAAAACTGGTGCAACCACTTATTTTTTGCTACTCCGGCACGTAATCTAGAGTAGACAGACTCTGACATGTAAATTAACAGATACCACGGACTCACATATGCTACCTCTTCGGGAGACCTCAGACCACCCTCAGAGCTCAAGATGCTTCTGCAATTACTACAGACCTGGAATTTGAGGTCTACAACCTGGCCAGACTGCCTGGGGTAGCAGGCGAGTGCAATATAACAAGGTGGATGAGGGTTCTCAGATCTCATCTACACAAAGACCTCCATCCTTACCCCAAGGTTAAATTTATAGATTAAAGTTCTCCAGAGGAACTCCATATTTTACGTGGTCTGTGACAAACAGAAGAATAAGGAGATAAAGAACAAGGGGAAGATGTGTCTGGGCAAATGGGCACTCAGTACAGTGATCTCCATGAAGGATCAAGAATTCACAGAAACGTTATTTGTACTTCTAGCGTCTAAAGTAACTTCAAAAATTAAAGTTAACAATGGGCTTAAGGTAAACATAGATGTTTATGGCATCAGTATAATTAAAAATTGGTTTAACATTGAATCTGGAGATTACCTAGTAATTACATATCAAAAAATATTCATACCAGAGGCCTAATAATTTCATTTGGGGAAACATAAGCCAGGTAAATAATCTAAAAGAGAAAAAGAATCAACTTGTAAAATAGGCTCAAAATTACACTATGTACATGGGTTAAAAAAAAAAAGATCCAAACCCCCAAAATGAGGAGTCTGCTTAAGGAAAATATAGAAGTCAATACTACCAAACCCCACATATAGAACATTGAGCGTATGGACTCAATACAAGGGGAAATGAGCAGTGAGGTAACTGCCACTCATCCACAGTGGCTGTGCCAGGTTCTGTGTTTAACCACTTACATTTTCTATTTTACAACCAATTCTCAATAAGCCTCCAATGAGGAACGAATCATTCTGAAAAATAAAAAAAGGACATATTTTTTCCTTATTCAGTCAATTCTACTTGAATTTTCTAAAAAAAAAATGGCCTACATTTTAGTAACACTACTATACGTACACAATAGTACACTTCCAACAAGCATTGCCATGACCAAGTTACCCCTTAAGACCCTAAGACAAGAAATTCCAAAATAGTCTCCCATAGGGTTCTAGTAGTAAAATAACGTAGTGTAATCTTTAGACATGCGAGTTTTTTTTTTTTTTTTTTCAGACAGGGTCTCACTGTATCACCCAGGCTGGAGTGCAGTGTTTTTTTTTTTTTTTTTTACAACCTCCGCCTCCCAGGCTCAAGCGATTCTCCTGCCTCAGTCTCCCAAGTAGCTGGGATTACAGGCACGTGCTACTACCACCCAGCTTATTTCTGTATTTTTAGTAGAGGCGAGGTTTCAACATGTTGGCCAGGCTGGTCTCAAACTCCTGACCTCAAATGATCCACCTGCCTCAGCCTCCCAAAGTGCTGGGATTACAGACAAGAGCCACCGTGACCAGCCGACATGAATTTTCAAAGTTCATTGCACTAGGCCAGGCGTGGTGGCTCACACTAGGCCAGGCATGGTGGCTAACATTTGTATGTTACTGCAAATAACTACTGCAGAAAATAAATATCAGAATGCCCTTTCTAAATTTAATAGTACCAAGAACAACACTTGACTCCATAACCAACTGAAATTTAAAAAGCTATCCAACAGCTTTCAAAAAAAATTTTAAAACCACAAAAACTCTCAACTTATCTCAACAGTGTAAGGAAGGACAAAAAAAAAAATCTGCCCTGATAAAGTCTACCTACCCAAAGACAAAATATTTGTTGATGGTGATGTGACTTTATATCAACAGATAGGGCACATCACTTTCAGAACCGGTGGCAAAGGTTTCTATGAACCCATGCACCACTTTCTGTGACAAGTTCCAACTTCTATCCTTTAATGACAAGATGCAGTCCTGGGCCCCAGCGTAGAACCACGACAGCAACCATCTCTCACTGATCTCTCAAATACTGAGCACGCACTGATGGATAGCAGATTCATCTCAGGTTAACCAAAACTAAAACCATTACCTGTTAATTGCTATAAATTAGTCATATGAGTCTAACACCATATAAATGTTTATTATTTAAACCAAGGGCTCAGGGGGAACCTACATTCTACCACTTACAGCAACTTTCTTTGCCAAATCCACAATATCTTCCATCAACTCAAGATGTTGTAATTTCTTCAAACTTATCTCAGAAGCACGTGAATTGCTTAAAGACAAATTTATTTTTTAAAAGATTAGATTATCATATATACAAATTCATTGAACTTCATGCTTAGCTATGTATCTCAAACCATTAAAAATATAAGTTCTCTTTTTCTTCACTCTAGGTAGCAATAACTAAGCTATTTATTCAATTAACAAAATACTGTATCTTTTTCCTCTCTTCTGTACTATAACACTGATATTTACAAACAAACATGTTAATTCTTCCTGACTCAGCTTCTAGTCTACCATCTAGTACTATTCAGAATTTCACTGATTATGTTACAATTATTCATTCATATCCAAATCTCAAGCTTTGTTTTTTCCACCCTATTAGACAAAAGTTGAGCAGCATACAAGAATAAGACATAAGTCTTCCAGTGAACTTGCATTCCTTTGTATTGGGTAACATGCTTATCACTGCCCATACAAAATGAGTAACATATAGTAACTTACTTGGCGTCCACACAGGGATGCAATCGTGATATTACAGAACTGTTTTGATGTTGAAACAGAAGTGGCCAGAAGATGTTTATTTTAATGGCATCACAATAATCTTGCAGGACAGAAATTGGTTTACTACACCATATACTGCAGATGTCAAATTCTTAATTTAAAAAAAAGTTTAAAATTAATGTTTGTGCCTCATTTTTTAATGAATCAACACTGTTAATAGTAAAAAGGCAAAAATGGATATGGAGAGGGAAGAAATGAATGAAGTATTTTAGCCTGTTAAATGTTAAGAATATTTAAGTGCTGGCTAAAATTCTATTTTAACAAAGAAAAGTTCTGATTTCTAGTGAAAAACTAGTAAGAATACATTTTTAAAAGGCATAGAAATCTGTTGTATTGTTATGACAGGATGGGTGGACCTCCCTTTATAGTATTTCCATATATTAACATTAAAAATACCAATGTACTCACCTAAATTCCTCTCACTTTGGATATAATCTTTATATTGCATACCCTAAAAAGAAGAAAATTATTTTTATTTGTGTCTAATAAAATGGAAAAGTACAGTTCTTGATTTTTGATCTAAGGATTACCAGAACTAACCAAAGAACTTTCAGTGGACATTTATTTATATGCTTCAAACACATCTTCAGCCAATGAGGCTTAATTTGAGACCCTTTTTACAGTATTTCCTGAGTTTGCTTCTATGGCTCTCCCCAAGAGCTTTTCTAACTCCCTGTCAGAAAACCACCTTTTGCCACCACTTGTCTTCTGGCATTCCACAATCTTATTTTTGACCCAGTGCTTACTTTCCCTTCTCAAATCAACTTTTCAACAGCATGTGTACCTCCCTGTCAAAATGCACATACCACAAAAACATCTTTACTCAGAGAGCCCTAAACCAGAAAACCTTCAGTACACAATGTCAAAAATGAAAAATTAGCAAACCTACTTACCACCCCATCACAGTAAAGCTGAGTCACACGAACATAATCATTGCTCATAAATTCAGCAGCAAAGACACAATCGTCGACGTAAGGGCAATCTTCTAACAAGGCATAATCTGTCACAGTGAAATCTCCCTCAGCAAAATTGTCCATGATGCACAAGTCTAAGGAGACAACACAAACTCAAGTCAGTAATTAAATCAATTGAGATGATAGAAGAAAGTTTTCCTGGCTTCTATGGTATATTAGAAAAATACTTGGAACCTATGTCCCAAGGAAATAACTTCTATCAGAACACTGAGCTCCGAAAGATTCTCGTCCCCATTCTGCTGACTTTTCCCCTGACTCTCTCCAGATAATTTAATCTATTTCTTCCTTTCCTTAGGTTCACATATTCACCATCTCTACTCTAAGTTAATCTGTTTACATGTCTCCTTTAAATGGAGGATCACTAAGGGCATCTTATCTATCTTTGTATGTGCCTAGCACATGGTAAGCTCTCAAATAAGTGTTTGCTGAATGAAGAAAAGACATCTTCCCGTTGCTGCACTTGTACCCTACCTGCTTTTACTGCATTCTGTGAAATGCGCCATTTCATCATACACAAACTGTTATATTCTCAACCTCAACTAAATCCTGACTCCGCTGAGAACTTCCCTATCAACTGCTCATATTTTCCTACTCATCTCACAGTGTGTTTCCATCTTGGGCAAAGGAGTAGGGCTAGAGTGGTACAGGGGAAGTCTGCCAATCTCCTAACTCCTCAAGGCAGCATCCAGACCTTCCATCCTCCTATCGACTGCTGCTTCTAACGCTCTCACAACTACTGCAATACACAATCAGCACTGCTAAATTGCAAGAAGGAAAAAACCCTCACATTACCAAAAGCCATGTTTTAAAAATACTTATTTCAATGGGGGACCAAGGGGGTTAGTGCTAAAGTTTCAGACTAAGGGTTTTTTTTTTTTTCCTGAAGAAACTTCAATAATAAGGATTTTTATAGTTATCAGAGAATAGCTACATAGGCTAAACATCACTGAAAAATGCACCATTTTATTACTTCTAGCTCTTGCTCATATAATGGCTTTCTTTTCCTATCATCACCAGCACATCATTAACACCATTCCTTGTACCTCTCACTTCACCATTATTATCCTACTATTGTTAGGATAAACCAAGTTTCTTCTTTCCAAAGCAAGACCACCACCAGTCCTTGAAATACAAATCTATTTATTTAATCAATCCATCTCATGATGTCCAAATTGCTGTATGAAAACTTCACAATCTCACAAGTGAAGAATAATAACAATCTTCCTAGCAAATTATTTGTACTATGTGTCACACACTGTACCAAATGTTTTACATGCATAATTTCACTAATCCTCAAGCAGTTCTTCTTAGCAGGCACAATTATCATCATCTCCACAGTAAAGATGGGAAAATGCTCACTTAAATCAAGTAATTTGCTCATGTCACCAAGCTAGGAAGGATTCAAATCCAGTCTTTAGTTGCCATAGCTTCTGTTCTCAAACACTCTCTTTTACTACATCTACTTTTCCTGTCATTGTCACCTATTTATCTCTTGGTTACTGTAATGTTTCAAGATCACTGGCAACTAGTTCACAGTGTTTTTCTCTTTCCTCCAAATTCTGTCATCATCCCAACCACATCGAGGTCCATGCACACAATATTCTAGCCTTGTAGTTTAACAACCTTCTCAACTAACATGAACTTCACTGCCTACCTCACTAGGCTCTCCCACCCGAGAGTGACACCTCAGATCACTACCTGGGTCAAAACCAGTTGTAAAACTTTTTATTAACTCCTCTCTGATCATAGCCAAGAATCATTATGGCTCATGTCTTCCTGATTTCCTACCACAGCCATTCTTCAACTTCATCAAGAACTCTTCATTTTTCACCCATCTGAATCCTCCTTCTCATTCACTTTCGGTCTCCTACGAATTGGTTTCCACTTCGACCATTCAAGGGAAACTGCTTTCATGAAGATCACTAATGACCTTCCACAAAAGACTGCTTATCTATAATGTCTAGAACCTGACCTATTTTGCATGAATATTTCTAGAGTTTAAAAAAATCTAACTCTAAAAGTGAACCATGACCAGAAAACATAAGATACTGGATGGAGCACCCAAACTATAGCACATGATGTGAGGTATATGCTAAACTCACTTGTCTTACAAATTTTTTTGGCATAAAATACAGAAAGAGCCAAGAACTGTCACAGCCCACACATCATGGCGTCAATTACAATACAATTAATGCGCTCATACCTGGCAGACTGATACTGGTCATTCAAGTCTGGCAAATCTCACTGGTAACACACACAGCACCAATTGTACCGTAATTACGACACTGGGGTAAATTTTATTTTCTATTTTTTGTTTGTTTGTTTGTTTGTTTGAGACGGAGTCTCACTCTGTCACCCAGGCTGGAATGCATTGGCACGATCTCGGCTCACTGCAACCTCCACTTCCCGGGTTCAAGCGATTTTCCTGCCTCAGCCTCCCAAGTAGCTGGGATTATAGGCGCCCACCACCACGCCCGGCTAATTTTTGTATTTTTAGTAGAGACAGGATTTCACCATATTGGCCAGGCTGGTCTTGAACTCCTGACCTTGTGATCCACCCGCCTCGGCCTCCCAAAGTGCTGGGATTACAGGCGTAAGCCACCACACCCGGCCTTGTATTTTAACTAGAGAGGCAATGTGACAAAGTGGTTAAGAACATGGACTCTGTAGCCAAGACTCTCGGCTTGAATCCTGGCTCTCTTGTTTCCTTGGGTGTGTGATCTTGGGCAAGTTACTTAACCTCTCTGTGCTTCTTCTGTGTTTCCTCGCATATCAAATGGGGATAACGATATTACCTACCTGATCAATCAGTTAATACATGTCAAGTGCTTTGAAGAGTACCAGGTATATGGGAAATGCTATAAATACCAGCTATTATTAACATTAATGTTAGATGAGTATTTTTAAAATCCACTGTTTGGATGCTTCCAGCTAAATAGTCTACCTTAATTGCTAAATCCAAAGAGCACTTTTCAGCTTACAACTTACTTGACACTGTGGACCACTTCCTCCTCAGAACTCTTCATTTGGACTCCAAAGACCATCTTCTCCTGGTTTTCCTCCTATTCGTCTGGCTGCTCTTCCTCAGTTTCCTTCATGGGCTCTTCTTCTCCATTCCCCGCCACCCAATGTCAACTCTCTTTTCTTCTCACTCTTACTCTCTCCTTGGGTGAATTTATCCACCACACCCATGACTTAACACAGCACTTTCTGAACTTGCATCGTTTGCATAGCTTCACCATGATTTTTGCCATTTCCATGTATCACATATACTTTTAGTTAATATTTCCCTTTTATTGAGCTCGCTTGGCCTAAGTGATGATGTCCATGATTATCAAAGGTTACATGTGCAAGTTATGTTTCTCATACACATTAAATTCCTATCTATTAAAATTTTTTCAAGTGTTTATCTATGTACCCAGTTTAAATTATCTCATATGCACTACAGTAAACAATGGCTTCCAAACTTCCAAGTGCTGAAGACTCCCAAATCCTTCCAGGCGAGGTTGTATCTTTTGACTTCTAGACCCTACTAGAACTACAACAGGATCTTAACCAAGATGTCCCACAAGCCCCTCTGAATCAGTAAGTTCAAAAACAAACATCTTTTCCTCAAAAACAAACATATGAAACCAAGTTCTTTCCTCTTTCTGTATGTTGTTTATCAGTTAATTGTTCCACATGCCATTTTACTACCCAAACCTAAACCCTGGGAGTCAACCTAGTCTCCTCATTCTCCTTCAACATTTCTGTCCAACTGACCACAAACTCTTGTCATTTCTGCTTCCCTAAGAAATCTAAAATTAGCACACATACACTTCTTCATGCCCAGTGCCACTGCCTTCACTGTTTCTCCTCTGAACTAATTTAACAAGCAGTCTCCTAACTGGTCAGGCTTGCCTTCAATCTTGGCACCCTCTAAAACTCTGATCATGTCACTGTACTGCTTAAAACCATACAACAGCTTCCCTTCAGCTTGAAAATAAAGTCTAACTTCCCTAATATAAGCATAGAAGGCCTTTTGTGATCTTGCTCCTGCTTTTATCCCCAGTCACTCCACAACACACAACCTAGAAGCCAGTCATACCCCAGTCCTTCCCAAACAAAACTTATTCTGTAACCACCTAATGCTATCAGTTCTTAATACCCAATTCCAGGAAGCATTTCCTGATCTTCCCACTACGATCAAGCTGATTTTTGCACCTCTTCTCTATAAACAAGAGCACCCTACCCATGTCTCTGACAGCAGTTTTCACACTGTTTGACCATCACAGGTTTATCTCTGTAGGGTCACTATGGATCTAGAGGATATACTGTGCAATCCACTTGTCATCTGTACTGCTATTTACTTAATAGTTTTCTTTAGGATAACTCAAATCTTAACTTAGATGCAAACTAGTTTTAATAGAAATGTTGATATCACCAAGAAAGCTTGTTTGGTACCATAAAATTTTTTCTAATACAAACAAAAATATACTACTAAAATTAAATATTAAAATAAAGAGCTTCTGACCCCATCAGTTACGGTGAACTAGACACTCTGGGGGAATGTACTATTGGGAGGAAAAAGGTAGATCCTAGATTTAAAAAAAAAAAAAAAAAACACTTTTTGGATGATTTTGCTGAGACCATAGAAATAGGGGAACATCTGAAGCCACCCTCTCCATGCAAAAGCAACAAACCTTGAGCTAGAAATTAAACTTGGCTACAGTTTAGTGCTACAAGTGGTGGTACCAAGAGCAGTAGTAGGATCAGGACACTGAGCTCTGGGCTAGAAGCAAAACGTAGGAACTTAAAAGTGATGCCACCTAAACTTCCTAGCTCCCAGACAAAGCCGATAGAAATGCTTTCAGAAAGAAAGCATCCCCAAATTAGACTCTCAAGATTCCCACAAAGATCAAACAGAAGTTCGTAATCAATGATCACCAAACACATGAGGTGACAGCTACATTGAGGGAGAGACAACAGAAGAAAAAAAAAAAGCAATTAAGTTTAGACATCCCCCTCCCCAAGGATATCAGACATTGGGAATGTCTGATATAGTCTACATGAACTAATTTAACAAGCAGTCTCCTAACTGGTCAG